ATGCGGGAGTAACATTTCACCTTTATTTGGTAAGGAGAATCGACCAGGAGGTAACCCATGTATGGTTTTATCACATTTTATAATGTATTTAAATCGCAATACTTATTTTTAAGAACGATTGTCCTTGTGAAGGAAACGTTTGAAACTCAATCGCAAAAGAAATTTGGTTTTAACAATACCAGTAATAGGCAACATCACATTAATTCAAATGAAGCAATATTCGATGTTGGTAAGCCCTATTTTGAGAGTTGCAATGTGGTAAAGGCTTAATTCACTATCAGACAAACGGATAACGTAAGGACGGACAGAACGAACTGTGCATACATATTTTCCTTTCACGCACACTAATAGTCTCTGTATTTTTAGTATATGTTATGCTGTACTAGTAAAGCTGATGTCGATCTCAGACTGTTCTACAAGTACCTATTTTCACATACAGATCAGCGCGGGATGTTGTTGATATATATAAACGCCTATGAGAAAGTGAAATAGGATGATTTCATGAAAGAATTTCGATAACAAAAACGCATGTATGTTTCTCATTGAATATAAATAGAGATAGAACCCCGTGTGAAAGTTTGTCGGCGTATATGCCTGTGTATAGTCTTATCGCACTGATACGCCACTTGTCACGTACATGTAAATCAACTGAGCAAATATGCATCGATTAGCGATGGTGTAGATTACAACATTCTTTAAACTAATTCATTTGGGAGTCTTATATTGGCAATATAACAACGTGTAATTATCCGTACTGCACTCGTTACTCTTACCCAGCACGATTCTTTATAAAGATTATATACTATACATATAAAGTTTATAATACATGTGTAATGTGTGTCATGCCTGACCTACAACCACATGGGACAGGATAATAGCCCGATATATCATTGCTCTGATGCAGTTTTTCATTAGGCTGGAGGAAAATATATTAGGTAGGGGACGTGATCTTTTTATCGACTCGTTCATGAGAAAATGATGCTCTATCCTTCGTGTCTTTTTATTAAAAGTGTAATTGATTTACAATTTCTATTGAACTGCATACCACCAAAGATAAATCACTTCCGTTGATGGTCATGTTACATATATACACATCATTTACTAATAAAATACAAGGATATCTAAGCGTCCGTATTGAGCGGAAAATCAAAACAGAATATGATATTAATATTAATTTGGGTTAGTTTCATTTCGTTTCGTGAGACTTGTATCAGGCAAGCGGTACAAAGAATCACTACTACCTGTAAACCCTTAATGACCTCCTCCCAACATACATATCTCTCTACCACAGGTCACTTATGTTATGATCAAATTAAGAACAGAAACCTGATAAAGTGTTATTTTCACAAGAAAGAAGCTTGCCAGCTATATGTAACAGTTTGCTGGGAAAATGACCGTGAGAGCGGAGCTGGAAGGGTTTGGAAACAACACCGGGGAGACCTGAACCACTCGAGTCGTGTGTAGTGCCCTTATCCCCGGAGTCCGTACAGATGTATTTTAAACACAAATGGGTTTCTTCATCTACAACTTCCTGGGAATCATTGAGCGAACTAAATCCCTGTTCGTGAAGGTAAGATTGATAAAAATAAGTATAGCAAAGTGGTACATGTACGATCTTCTAGTCCAGGGTTTTGGGAGATAAAATCGCCGTTTTGGAGCACACACCGTACATCAGTTTCTATAGACTGTCGAGACTATAACACGTGATTGTGTTGTGTCAAGCAAATCAGTTATGGCACATAGGTAAAGCTATCATGTTATTTGAATTGAAATGATAATAAAACAAAGTAATCTTTGTTCTTGTTTTGTTTAAACAGTATATATTTTGTATAAATCTTTAATTTTTGAAGTTTGGTATATGATTGCCAAAGTTTCAAAAACGATATTCTTTATTTAAATTATTTACATTCAAATAACTGTTTTAAGTTGCTTTTGTTTCTTGGTTTATTGAAGGTCTAAAAGACAGGTTTTGTTGCAGCTAGATAGCTACCTGATATAATTACTTTGTTTGTAACTTAATAAAAACTTCAATTACATATGCATAGCAACCAGGACAACAACTTCACCATACACTTTTTAATATTTATATAAAAGCCTTCTATATATGGTCAAAACGAATGTCATTCAGTCCAGAATGGCTGTCAACCAGGACCGTTCGGCAATCTGAATTGATTTTCAACCTAAAGTGATCTTCAATCTGGTTTCAGGAATTTTGGTTTCCGTTATTGTTAAACATATTTTACATGTGAAATAGTCAGTGTATTCAACTATTGACCTTGCTGAAAACATGTTTTTTTTATATAGAACTATGAACCAACTAATTACATCACTAACACCTTGAATAAAATTCAGCTAAAGCAGCAATGAATATTCTTTTATCTAATTATAACCTAAGCAAAACAAAGCGAACACTTTAATGTAATATTATCTCAAAACACGTTCCTTCTACCATCACGTTTACAACTACATACATTGCACCATATTATCACCGAAGTGAATGCAATGGCGATGCGATATCGTGAGGGAGTACAATTTTGGAGGGATGCCCTACACTATAAGTGACCTAAATATCACAGTGATATTCTGAACAAACACAATGTAAGAGCTGCTGACCTACGTGAGGTCAATGTCCCAGTAACATCCGAAGTGAGTACAACTTTTTCACACAAGAAAAAGCAAATCAGCTGTGAACAACTGCCCCATAACCACTGGCCTAATCCGAGTCTTCTGATTCCCTTATCGATCGCTCGTACCTAATTAATAAGCATGATAAAAATCCGTTCTCAAACCTAGCAACTGCTGAGCATTTAGGATTCCGTGGGAAACAAGTCGGTAACGCTCTTAGGAAAACTTCTATTGACATAAGGCTTGGTTTATGAGCCAATTTCATTGTTCTATATTAAGAAAACTAGTTATATTGCTACAAAACAGCTGATCGGAGTGAAGCGGATTTTCTGAGTCCGTTAAGTACCAATCTTGTGGAATCATCGGTTCCTCAACTCGGCAATCAGGGGGCCATCGACTTCTCTTACGTACACGTGTTTCTGAACGTTTAGCTGTCGTTATTGCTCTGGTGCTACAGATTACACCATCAACATGAAAAGGGAAGCGCACGTTCGTTATTATTAATAAAAACAATCGAAATTCGTTTCCGGAATTAGACGTTTAACAATGTTTATAGTTAATGATAGAAATATTCCAACTTTTAGAAACTATTTAACCTGCGTGTTATTCATTTATACAGCACATGGTTGGTTCATCACTGTAGCGAAAATAAAAGAAACAAGCCACAGAATCCTATTTTCTGCGTTTTACCAATACATTTGTTTCTCAAAAAAAAAAAAATTGGTAATGAAATGGAACATTACCATAATCAACAAAAAACAATACATAGAAATACCAGTAACAAAAACAACTACTGCTACAGTTGACATCAACGACGACGACGACGACGACGACGACTACAACTAAGTATACCACCAACAACAACAACGATGGCAAGGACGACCACTAAGTATACTACCAACAACAACGATGACAAGGGCGACAACTACTACTATCAACAACAACGATGATGACAAGCACGACAACTAATTATACCGTCAACAACAACGATGACAAGGGCGACAACTACTACTACCAACAACAATGATGACAAGGGCGACAACTACTGCTAACAACACATAACGACGATTACTACCACTATCAACAGCGACGACGACTGATACTAACAACAACAACAACAGCAACAACAACCAATACAACAACGGCATTAATGTAATCAGATTTCAAATTCTTTATCAACTTGAATCTAACACATTACACATATAACAATTAAATACAGTGGCAGGCGATTCAACGATGCAGTGGATAATGAACAGAATATCGTTAATGAAGTTTAATGTTATATTTGTGGTCTTTGCCGACTGAGCATCAATGTACACAGTAATGTATGACGTAGATAACACCTGTTTATACATAATTAAAATTGATGGTACAGTAGACAACAGCTAATTATATTGATATAATAGTTTACATGGTACAATCGTACAGTGATCATTGATGACATAAATATAAAGGTTTACACGGTGTAAATATTGTCAGTTATATATTTTATTGATGGCATTGATATAAAAAATTACACATTATTTAAATCGACAATAATTAAACACAACAATAATGATATAACCACGGTGATTATATCGTCAGTATATAACAATTAATGCAATTGTTTTATAAACAGTTTACACGTTGTATATAGAAATCGTCTGTAATGAGTTCAACAATAAATGACATTGATTCTTCTAGAAAAATATTTATATTAGGTAAATATCTAAAATCAGCGGATAAGCAAAGAATTGTTTCAACTTAACTTTCTGCGCTCAGGTGTGTTTATGTAGTTTCACTAATTATGTAAAAAGCAGGGTATTTCCTACTTGAATTTTGTAATCGTATTTCATTTCTACTGATGAGCTGAATGCTCCAAGTTAATTAAAAAAATCTGAATCAGTAACAATTGATATTGTTTTGTGTTTGTATTGTTTAACGGCCCATCGACAATGTGAGTTATTTAGGGCCAACAATACTGTAAACAGTTATAAGCAGGAAGGAGCCCAATAATTAACACCATTAATATTGACATATCGACAGTTAACACGTTATAGAAATCGACAACAACATAGAAATTAATTTCGTTTAAATAGAGACACAGACACAACTGCAAAGTTTACAAAAACTGTTTGTCCTAAAACAACGCCCCGTTAACGTCTTGTTACACGATCAAACTGACATGTAGCAGGATTTATCTGATTACAACTCTTGTTTGTTTTTATAAACGTGCGATAATCCCACACAGATTTATCACGTGCATATACCACATATGTCGTACAGCCTGCCTGAGAGATATTTATATTGTGGGAATGAGATGGCTATCGAACATTTGAGTAAGTTGATGTGTGATTGATCATCTGTAGTTTAGAGTAAGTGTTCTAGTCTCCTACCGAAGGACCTTCATCCCCGGGAATACTGTTGGCCCGAATAGTGTTCCGAGTAGTTCCTGCCAGATTCATGGTCTAGATTGGGTTTTGTTTGATTTATTTTCACGAGAAAGCACATAACATATATAAAGCTACTTCGGATACGTATATATGTGTCGGGCAAAGAGATGTTTTCATGAAGACATAATCTGTACAATGAAGTTCCTTATTTCAAACAATAGCATCCGCTAATATCCGCCGGATTTTAAACGCCCTTTTTTAATTACGGATTCCTATCAACTTTTAAAGTTTCGTATGATTTCAAAACCCGCCAATATAGTCCAACTTTTAAGATTTTAAACACTAATTCAATAATTTGAGCGGTATTAGGTAATAGGTTCCCAAATTCAAATTGTATGAAGTTCGGTTTCTTAAAATTCACACATGGTATTTTTTTAAACTAAGCTCTCATACCAGATTAATACGATGGATTAGGTTCTCCTGAAAATAGTTCTGGCGAAGTTACCGTTCCCCGTCAGTGTGTATCAGAACGCGCGCATCTGTTGGAGTTGAACGTGTGCCTTATCACATTCCGTCATAGCAACAGCTGTTATACTCCACGAAAAATATAGTTCTGCATCTGCAGCGGTCCAACAATCTTAGGTCTATTCTTAGATTCGTGTGACCCTAATGACTTATTGATTTATTCTTATTTTTATTTAGTTGTTGTTGTTGTGTAAACGTAGTTAAACTGTCCTTCCAGTGCCGTGTAAGAATGTGTTCTTTATGAGCGTTCAAATGAGCATGGATCAGCATGAACGATGTGAAATCGTTTTGTTTTCTTGCTGTATAAACAGATTGAAGAAAACCCCGGGAAACTGTCGTAAGGAGCATCCCAACATGATTAATTTCACTCCTTAATTCACCGACAACGCCAGCTTCCCTCTCGATTTCTTCAAACAGTCCGTACCTAAGGACCCCGGCCTGCTATCTTCTTGGTGCTAGATCGAGTCTGATAATAATCGCCATCACAAACCGTTCAATCGCTGGTCTTATCTCCGACAAACGATGCGATGAGCAGGGTTGGTTAAACTTACTCTCTAACAGATAACCAAGTCGTTGAAATGAAATGAAATTATCACGAAAGACTCTGAGAATAATTTTGAATGGAAAGGGTTGAAGATTTATATAAATCTCATGGTAGGATTTTGACACGTCGGATGACAGAAATGTGATTAGCATATAAAATAACAAATATATGATGTTTCACATGCTCTGCCAATCGTCTTCTGCTTGATCGGTATAGTGGATATATCAAAGAAAAGTAAAGCGCGGTTCGGTGAATTCTAAATATTTGTTCAAAGGCACTTTGACCAGGCTCCAGTGACTTAACACGTTTTTTATATGCGATACCCCATGGTCAGTCGACGAGGAGACATATACCGCTGTCTCGAGTGACCAGGCCTAATACACCCGTCTGGTTTATGTCATGACATCAAACGGACCGCTGTCTCTAAACTATTTGACCAGCAATATAAATCATTAATCACCAAGTTTGAAAGTGTCGAGATTGAATCGGACCGGTCACCGATTGAAATGAGGAATGAATGGTTTACGACGACAAATGACGGTTAGTTCAGAACAGATACAATAACAGGTGTATGCATTCATGCATCTACAGAAAACAGCAAATCTTAGTCTTAAGTGTCGATTTAATCCGGGTATATTTTTATTTGTGTTAAACCCTATCGTATGAGCTGTCACGTACTCGGACACGGAGACAGCGTTATATTAACAGACAGTGTTTTTGTTGTTGTTGTAATAGTTCATGTTACATTGCAGACATTTTGCACGGTATCCGATTATGGCGGTCGTAATATAGCGTACTGGAGTCACTTAGAGTCGTAATATAGCGTACTGGAGTCACTAAGAGTCGTAATATAGCGTACTGGAGTCACTAAGAGAGAACCATGAACTACAACATATCCTAACATAAAACAGAGATAAACATTTACCACGAAACAATACTACATTCAAGCACGGGCAAAGTCAGGAATGAAAGTAATAAAACAAAAAAACAAAATCAATATACTGGATCACAAAATAGAAAAGCTAGATTATGATGCGTAAAACTTCCTGTGATAAACATAGGACTCGTTAGTAGTGGCGACAATAATGTCCAATGTGGGCACTGGCAGCTATAGTATACAGTATGATAATACTTGGTCCTGATTAAAACCAATTACTGATTAATCTAAGTTTATGTATTTACTTGAAGAATAAACAGGCAGTTACTATAGGTTAGAAGAGCCTTGGTGGGTTCTTAATTTCCCGATGCTGCTTTAACCGGTTTATTTACCAATAAAGGAATTTGGGAAATAAGAAAGAAAAACAGGATATAATTCACTATATATCCCTCACTGAGTTGTGTGTTTGCAGGAACCACTAACAGAGGACCATAGCTGACACGCTATGTATCTTACCCCGAGGAGATCCCTAGCCCCTGAGGGTACCTGGTGGTCAGCATCAGGAAGTGTCGTACAGAGAAATGATAAAGACCATTTCCCTCGCGTTTACCAAACACAGACAACGTCAGTGAAGTTTAAAACTATTTACTTGAATAAGTGGTAGACAATAAGACAAGTAAACGTCAATCAACTAATAAAGTGTAATAATCTTCGCGATGTAATTCTCGCGGAAAAACGGTGGTGCGCACTGATACATTTTGTCTACTAGTAGCGACACAATAATTTCACCATGCATATGAATGTAGTTTATACATTTCAAACATATTTGTTATCTATTGATAAAGACATCAGAATGGCTGATAGGAAAGCACATCACGAAGGGTTAGAAAGCTACACGCATAAGGACCTTACACAAAGATTTATGGTTAAAGTAACATATTTCATTGAAAAGAAATGTGTCTTTATCCTGTAACTTCCATCTGTACTTCATGTCTGTGTAGAGAGATTTGCTCGCCTTTTGCATAACACGCATGCAATTCTTTAGCCAGATTTCGCCAGGGGTATGTGTAAAAAACAGGAACCTTTCAAACGTAGCTCTGCTCAAAGAAAAAAAGGGGCGAATTTTATATAGAAAACGAATTTTGTCTTTGTTCCCGCGGCATATTAAGTGCGCACGGTGGCACATAAGTACTGCGCTATCGTGTTACGTCTGTATGAATGAAATAACAAGTTTTCTCAAAAATCTTTTCCCGCTTTCAGATGGTTTCATTGATAACATAACCGACGTACTGCGAATGTAAACAAGGCGAGAGTGAGGAGGGGGACCCCCCGCAGGGAGGAGCCTCATTGGGAGGGAACCCGGTCCGACCCATATTTAGAATCACACCGAGAAATACTAGAGCTGTACGGGACAAACTTGGCTTTTGTGGCGGTTTTTCCCCTGACGTATGGAGATACAGTCATGACACAATTTTCACATGTTAACCATAAGTTGTTTTAATTTGTTGAATGTATATTTTTAATTCGTATTATTCTACTTATATCACAAAAAAAATGTAAAGCATAATTGTGTAAATGATAATAGAAAGAACGGTACAATGTACATGACTACAGATATAGAACATGCAGTCGAAAACACTGTATCAAAATATAATATACTTAACTGATGCAATTTTGTCCTTAAGCGTAATAAACAGTGAGACTTTTTTTACATGCATGTCAAACAGTATTGGTGCAATTTCGTATGTCAAAAACTATGACATGCATCTCTGGTGTAGTGCTTTCAAAAAGTATGACAAACGTCTCTGGTACATTGTGTCAAACAGTATAACAGACGTCTCTGGTACAAAATTGTGTCAAACAGGATTACAGACGTCTCTGGTACAACACTGTTTAAGTTTGACAAAAGTCTCTTGTACAACATTGTGTCAAAAAGTATGACAAACGTCTCTCGTACAACATTGTGTAAAAAGCAAGAAAAACATATCTTTTTCAACATTGTGTCAAACAGCATTACAGACGTCTCTGTTAAAACATTGTGTCAAACAGCATTACAGACGTCTCTGGTACAACATCGTGTCAAACAGTATTACAGACGTCTCTGGTGCAAAATTGTGTCAAACAGGATTACAGACGTCTCTGGTACAACATTGTGTCAAACAGGATTACAGACATCTCTGGTGCAACATTGTGTCAAACAGGAGTACAGACGTCTCTGGTACAACATCGTGTCAAACAGTATTACAGACGTCTCTGGTGCAACATTGTGTCAAACAGGATTACAGACGTCTCTGGTACAACATCGTGTCAAACAGTATAACAGGCGTCTCTGATACAACATCGTGTCAAACAGTATTACAGACGTCTCTGGTGCAACATCGTGTCAAACAGTATAACAGACGTCTCTGGTACAACATCGTGTCAAACAGTATAACAGACGTCTCTGGTACAACATCGTGTCAAACAGTATTACAGACGTCTCTGGTACAACATTGTGTCAAACAGTATTACAGACGTCTCTGGTACAACATTGTGTCAAACAGTATTACAGGCGTCTCTGATACAACATCGTGTCAAACAGTATTACAAACGTCTCTATTACAACATTGTGTCAAAAAGTATTACAGACGTCTCTGATACAACATTGTGTCAAACAGTATTACAGACGTCTCTGGTACAACATTGTGTCAAACAGGATTACAGACGTCTCTGGTACAACATTGTGTCAAACAGTATAACAGACGTCTCTGATACAACATTGTGTCAAAAAGTATAACAGACGTCTCTGGTACAACATTGTGCCAAACAGTATTACAGACGTGTTTAGTTCCATGATGTGTCAAATAGCATGACATACGTCTCTGGTACGTCATGATATGTCAAATAGCATGACATACGTCTCTGGTACATCATGATGTGTCAAAAAAGGATGACAGACGTTCAGAATTAAGAGCATCTAGGTAGTCTTTGTCTTTATATACATCGTTTTATAACTATGGGATAGCAAACTGTTTGAAATCATATACATGTACAAAACAATATGTGGGTCCCTGGCGCATGATATTATCATAAACGTACATAGATAGAGAAACAACATACTTTTATATACTTTTAGGCACATAGAGA